AAACTGGAGTACTTGTGTGGCTCAGTCAATTATGTGTTCAACTCTTGATTTTGATTTAGGACATGATATCAGTGTTGTGAGATCAAGCTCCACATTGGACTGCTTGAGTCTCTCCCTTTGTTCTCCCCTGCCACACACACTCTCTCTCAATATATATGTATGTAAAATAAATAAATCTTTATTTTTATTTTATTATTTTATTTTTTTAAAGATTTTATTTATTTATTCATAGACACACACAGAGAGAGGCAGAGACACAGGGAGAGGGAGAAGCAGGCTCCATGCAGGGAGCCTGATGTGGGACTTGATCCCGGGTCTCCAGGATCACAGCCCAGGCTGCAGGCAGCACCAAACTGCTGCGCCACCAGGGCTGCCCAAATAAATCTTTATTTTTTAAAAAATATTTTATTTATATATTTGAGAGAGAGACAGAGAGAGCATGAGCACGGAGAAGAGCAGAGGCAGAAGAGAGGGACAAGCAGACCCCAATGAGTGGGTAGCCCAATTTGGGACTCAATCCCAGAAACCTGAGATCATGATTTGAGCTGAAGTCAGATGAGCCACCCCGGTGCCCCACTAAATAACTCTTCAAAAAAACTTATAAAACTGTATTTATTTGATTAAAAGAATACGTTAATATGCATACTGGTTATAATAAGCATGATAATTCAAAGATCTATATATATTAAAAAAAGATAACTCTTTCCCACCCATGTCTTCCATATGATCAGCCTACTATAAACTCTTCCATGCCTTTCCTCATGCTCATATAAACATAAATATAAACGGTCAGTAATATGCTAAAAGGGTCTTTATCACTCTACAATTTGCATTTTCCACCGTAGCAATATATCTGGATGTCCCTCTGGGTCAATACAAATAGGTCTAACTCATTTTCATCGTCATATAATATTCCATAGTACAGAGGTAGTACAACTGATTCATGGATTCCATTAATTACAGACTATCAGGTTGTTCTCAGTTTGTTTGTGTTTGTTATGCACCACGAACAATACAAGCATCTTAGTTTGCTGTGGCTACTTTGACACATTACCACAAACTGAGTGGCTTAAAACAACAGATATTTATTCTCTCATAGTTCTTGAGTCTAGAAAATTGAAATCAAGGAGTTGGCAGGGTTGTTTCCTTCTAGATTCTCTGAGGGGGAATCTGTTCTATGTCTCCTAGTAGCTGCCAATGATCCTTGGGATTCTTTGCCTTTGTAGATGCATTACTCTCATCTCTGCCTCATTCTTCACATCACCTTTGTGTCTCTGTATCTCAAATCTCCCACTGCCCTTTCTCTCTCTCTCTCTTTTTTTTAAGATTTTATTTATTCATGACACACACACACACACACACACACACAGATGCAGAGACACAGGCAGAGAGAGAAGCAGGCTCCATGCAGCCAATGTGGGACTCAATCCCAGGACTTCAGGATCACACCCCGAGCCAAAGGCAAGTGTCAAACCACTGAACCACCCAGGCATCCCCATCCCTCTGCCCTTTCTCTTACAAGAATATCTGTCACTGGATTTAGGGCCCATTCTTTGTGTGTGTGTGTGTGTGTGTGTGTGTGTGTGTGTGGCAAAATATTTTATTGCTGCCACCCCATCATCCTAAGTCTAAGATGATCCCATTTCAAGATCCTTAATTACATGTGTAAAAATCCGTTTTCCAAATAAGACTATATTTACAGGTTTTGGAGTGGACATATCTGTAGGAGGGCCAAAATTCAACCCATATGGCATCCTTGTGTATATCCTTACAATTGGTATTGTCTTTAGCTTTTCCATAGGGCAGTGTTAATGTATTTCTTGGTCAATAGGTAGGTATGTATATTTTAAATGTTAATAGACATTCCCAGATTACTCTAGAAAATTTGTGGCTATTTATATTCCTATCAGAGATGTACCAAGGCTTCTTTCTCCATGTATCATTGATTGCTTTTTTTTTTTTTTTTTTTTTAAGATTTTCATGAAAGACACACAGAGAGAGAGAGAGAGAGAGGCAGAGACATAGGCAGAAGGAGAAGCAGGCTCCATACTGGGAGCCTAATGTGGGACTCAATCCCTGGTCTCCAGGATCACAACCTGAGCTGAAGGCAGATGCTTAATCGCTGAGCCACCCAGGCATCCCTGATTGTTTTTTTTTAATGTTTGCCTAGATTGGAGTGAAAAATGGATTATTGTTTTAATTTCTTTTTCCATAACTATTGTGAAATAAGCATCTTTTTAATGGACCACTTGGATTTTTTTTTTTTAAGATTTATTTATTGATTGATCCATGAGAGACACAGAGAGAGAGGCAGAGACAAGGGCAGAGCAAGAAGCAGACTCCAAGCAGGGAGCCCGATGCAGAACTCGATCCTGGGACCCCAGGGTCATACCCTGACCCAAAGGCAGATGCTCATCCACTGAGCCACCCAGGCATCCCTGGATTTTCTTTTCCATTAATCACCTGCTTGTAGACCTTGCCCATATTTTAATAACATTGTTCCCCTGTTTTTTTTTAAAATCCACTTAATGGGGGCACCTGGCTGGCTCAGCTCATAGAGCACGTGACTCTTAATCTCCAGATTGCAAGTTCAAGCCCCACCTTAGGCAGTAGATCTTACTTTTTTTTTTTTTTTTAAGATTTTATTTATTTATTAATGGGAGCCACAGAGAGAGAGAGGCAGAGACATAGTCAGAGAGAGAAGTAGACTCCATGCAGGGAGCCCAATGTGGGACTCAATCCCGGGAGTCCGGGATCATGCCCTGGGCGGAAGGCAGGCCCTCAACCACTGAGCCACCCAGGATTCCCAATAGAGCTTACTTAAAAAAAAAAAAAATTCATTTATAAAAACTCTTTTATGGTAGAGATACAATGTGTTTGCCATATGTTTTGTTGTTCTATTTATTTATTATTTATTTATTATTTATTTATTATTTATCTTTTTGTTCTATTTTTTTAAACTTGTCATTATGATGTCATGCAATACTTTCAAAATATTTATGTCGACAAATATTTTTATTTTTTCCTTAATGATTCTGAGCTTCCTGTCTTGCTTAAATTTCCCCCTAACGAAAGTCATATTACTATTCTTTAAAAAATTTCCCCTAAATTTTTGTTTTATATATTGTTTATTATTTAATTCTACTTTTTTATTTTTAAATTTATTTTTAAAAATTAAAAAAAATATTTTATTTATTTATTCATGAGAGACACAGAGGCGGAGAAAGAGGCAGAGTCACTGGCAGAGGTAGGAGAAGCAGGCTCCAAGGGGCCTCATGTAGTGATCCTGGGACTCCAGTATCACACACTGAGCTGAAGGCAGGCACTAAACTGCTGAGCCACCCAGGCATCCCTGATTTTGCTTTTTTTTTTTTTTTAAGACTTTATTTATTTATTCATGAGAGACATAGAGAGAGAGAGAGTGACAGGCAGAGACACAGACAGAGGAAGAAGCAGGCTCCATGCAGGGAACCTGATGGGGGACTTGATCCTGGGACTCCAGGATCACACCCTGGCCTGAAGGCAGGCACTAAACCCCTGAGCCACCCAGGGATCCCCTAATTTTGCTTTTTTTAAAGTAGGCTCCATGCCCAGCATGGAGCCAACATGGCTTGAACTCAGCTGAGAGCAAGTCCAAAGCTTAACCAATTGAGCCAGCCAGATATTCATATATATATGTATTTATTTTAAAACATTTTTTTGTAATCTCTATCCCCCAATGTGGGGCTCAAACTCAGGACCAGGAGATCAAGAGTTCCTTATTCTTCCAACTAAGCCAGCCAGGCACCCCTGGTTTCTGTATTTTTATATCTTTAATTCTTCTGAAATTTATTTTTGAATATGGTATGGTTCTAGCTTTATTAGAAATAAAGATTCTATTAAACCAAGATAATTTATCAAACTACTTTTTTATCACTGGCCTGTTTGCCACTTTTGCTTTAATATTTGGTTCTACTGCTAGCCTTCATCCTCGATTACTCAGCTATTTGAGCTAGTATAGTAGCAGTAAGTTATAATAATTCTACAATACAGGAGAGCTTTCCAATAAGTTAAGATTTCAGCTTTTCAGTAAGTGAAATTCAAGTATGCCGCTAAGAAAGAGGCCCATAAAATGTCCTGGTTGTGGTCAAAAGACAACAGGAGATAAGGTACCCAAAAAAGGTTAGGTGACGTGTTAGGCACTGCGTACAAATGTTAGCCATTATTATCGCAAAAGCGAACACACAGAAAACTAATTTTGGGTTTGGAAGTCTGGACTTCTGCTTTTTTTTTTTTTTTTTAAGATTTTATTCATTTATTCATGAGACACACACACACACACACACACCACACACACAGAAGCAGAGGTGAGAAGCAGGCTCCATGCAGGGAGCCCGATGTGGGACTCGATCCCAGGTCCCCAGGATCACGCCCTGGGCCAACGGCAGGCGCTAAACCGCTGGGCCACCCAGGCACCCCTGGACTTCTGCTTTTATGGCCATCAACACTGCAGGAATTGCAGGGCCAGCTGTGGCAGCCAATCTAGCACTCCATCTCCAGAACTGCAGTGACAGGATAAGGGGGAAAAGCGAAGAAGGGCTGCGGCCAGTCCAGGAGTCGGTCCAAAGTTCCAGATTGGAATTGGGGAAGAGCAAAGAGGTCAACGGGGACGCGAGGAACAGAGGGGCATCTCGCCAGGGGGCTCCGAACGTCGAGGCAGGTGGCTGCTCTCCGCTGACGGCGGCCGGCGGGAGATTGCGGTGCCGCGGTCCTCGGGGAGCCCCGCAGCGTCCCGGCCGCGCCCGCAGCCGAGAGCCCAGGCGACCGCGCGGCCTCCTCCGCGGCCGGGCCGCGCGGGTGCTGCAGGTCTGGCGGCGGGGGCTCCCGGGCCGGGGATTGGTCGGAGCGGCGCGCGGGGCGGGGCCAGGGGTGCTGGGCGGCCGGCCAGGGAGGTGCGCGCGCGCGGGCACGGCGGCGGCGCGCGCGTGCTCCGTCGGTCGGTGCGGCGGCGGCGGCGGCGGCGGCGGCGGCGGCGGCTGTGGAGGAGCGGGCCATGGCTGTGGGTGGCGGGCCGGTGTAGCGCCGCGCGGGGCAGGCGGAGGCGACCGAGAGAAGCGGGGATGGGGGCGCCGCAGGCGGATGGTCGCGGTGGCCTGGGCTGCTGACTGCGTACCCGGAGCCAGAGTCGGAGTCGGCGGCGGCGGCGGCGGCGGCGGCGGAGCTCCGGGCAGGTGAGAGCGGCGGCGCGGGCCCCGGATGCGGCGGCGCGGTCGCGGCGGCGGCTGAGGTGCCCCCGCGCGGGCGGCGCGCTCTTGCCCGCCACAGCCTGCGGCGCCGGCGAGTTGTGTACCCGCTGCGCGCTTCCTGCCGGCGCGGAGGACACCCGGCCGCCGGCCTGCGGGGGCGCCTCGCCCGACTGCGGCCCTCCCCGGGGCTCTCTGAGGTGAAGGCTCTTCCCGGCCTCTGGGCGGCCGAGACGCGCCCGGGCGCCCGGGGCCGCTGGCGCTTTCCGTGGCGTTCCTGAGGGGGAGCCTCTGTGGAGAGGCGGCGCCGTCGTCTCCTGTCGTTCCTCCGCCTCAGCGGACGCCCCCGGAGCTTCCAGACCCTCAGGTGCCGCCCCCCCCCTTTTTTTTTGCCTTGAAGTGCATTTTAGGGGCGGGGATCCTAGGCGGTTTGGGTGCGGACGTATTTTCAGATCCCAGCGCTTCCACAGACCAGTCCTGGGGCCTTGGGCCCAAGTGCCCTGGTTTGTTAAAGGGATAATAATAATAACCCGTACCTCACAGGGTTGTTTTGAGGGTAGGACAGGACGATGTGCACGACCGATCAGCCGGCGCGCGGTAAGTGCCAGGCTATTAGCTGCAACTCTGCTGCCGCATCTTTTTAGCCATTGCCGATTCCTGACTGCGGGTTTACGTTGCGGGGTGGGGGGGGGGGGATACATTTATTTCCGAAGTGCGCTGGTGTTGCAATAACCACCAGTGGAGTTGCTTCATATTGGATCCCGTTCTCTTATAGGGGCCAAAATAGAACCCTGTGTTTCCCACCCTAGAATCTTGTAGTCTCTTTCTTGCCAAGGCTGACGTAGGGTACCTGTCTCAGGCGCTGAGTGGAAATTAGAGTAAATAAGACCGAAAGGGTTCGCTTAGGATGGAAGATGGTGGGACATACAAACTGGAAGCGGTTTGCTGTTTAAATGATCCTAAGTGACACTTAACTGTCACTTGTTACATAGTATAAACACACGAGGAATCTGGAAACAGACTCCTTTTTCTGCGTTGCTACATCCGAAGGGAGTGACAAGTGCTTTTGTAAACATCATTGTGGGCAGCGTTCGTGTCTGGTGAAGTCATCATAATTAAGTTAGATGAGTACTTATTTTGAAGCCCTGAATGAATGTTTGGAAATGTGATTCCTAATAAAACCGTCTTCGACGAGTCAGAATTCTCAGCAGTTTATTAATCATGTGGGGATTTTTATGCAACGCTGTAAGATTTTTATGGTAAAAGCAGAACTGTTTAAGTCATGATAATGTAGCATAGGAGAGAGCAGTCAGGGGAAAGATCATAGTTTAAGAAGGCAACTGTGGAAACAAGTAAAAATCTTAAACCTTAAAAACTAAAATTCAAAAGGTGCCTAGATGGCTCAGCCCATTAAGGGTCACACTGGGTTTCTGCTCAGGTCATGATCTAAGGGTCCTGGGATCAAGGCCTTTAGGCTCTGCGCTCAGGATGGAGTCTGCTTGTCCCTCTCCCTCTGCTCCTCCTCCTGCTCTCTCTCTCTCTAATAGATAAAATCTTTTTTTTTTTTTTAAAGATTTTAATTTTTTATTCATGAAAGACACAGAGAGAGGCAGAGACATAGGCAGGCGGAGAAGCAGGCTCCCTGTGGGGGGAGACTGATGCAGGACTTGATCCCAGGACTCTGAAATCAACATCTGAGCCAGAAGGCAGATGCTCAACCTCTGAGCTACCCAGGTGCTCCTAAATAAAATCTTAAAAACAGCAACAACAGCAACAGCCACCACCAAAGATCACTTGGGTCGCTCAGTTGGTTAAGCATCTGCCTTTGGCTCAGGTCATGATCCAAGGATTCTGGGATGGAGCCACAGATCAGATCTGGCTCCTTGCTCAGCTGGAAGGCAGCATCCCCCCCCCCCCCCCCCCCCCGCACCTTGCCTTCTGCTCATGCTCTAACTCTGGCTTTTTGTTTTAAATAAATAAAATCTTGAAAAAAAATTGTATTCACTAAAGCAAAAATGACTTAAAAAACCCCTTTGTTTTACATACCCTGATTCATTCTCTGATGAGTGTCAAACACCTGCAGGGTGTTTTTTTAGAATTGTAGAAAATTGAGTTGGCTTTTAACTTATTGCCATTTTGTACCTCTCACTTATGTTTCCTAGTTTTCTAGTTTTTTTTTTTTGATCCAACTTTTTTTTTTAAGATTTTGTTTATTTAGGGGATCCCTGGGTGGCGCAGCGGTTTGGCGCCTGCCTTTGGCCCAGGGCGCGATCCTGGAGACCCGGGATCGAATCCCACATCGGGCTCCCGGTGCATGGAGCCTGCTTCTCCCTCTGCCTGTGTCTCTGCCTCTGTCTCTCTCTCTCTCTCTCTCTCTGTAACTATCATAAATAAATAAAAATTAAAAAAAAAAAAAGATTTTGTTTATTTATTCAGAGAGGCAGAGATATAGGCAGAGGCGGAAGCAGGGTCCCTGGAGGGACCCTGATGCAGGACTCCATCCCAGGACCCTGGGATCACAACCTGAACCAAAGGCAGACGCTCAACCACGGAGCCACCTAGGCACCCCGATCCAATTTTTTTTTTTTTAAAGATTTTATGTATTTATTCATGAGAGACACAGAGAGGGAGGGAGGGAGAGATAGAGAGAGGCAGAGACACAGGCAGTGGGAGAAGCAGGCTCCATGCAGGGACCCCCATGTGGGACTCGATCCTGGATCTCCGGGATCAGGCCCTGGGCTGAAGGCGACCTAAACTCAGCTAAACTGCTGAGCCACCCAGATGTCCCCCAGTTTGTTTTTGAATGTGAACAGATACATAGAAAAAAATTAAAATAAGCCTTGTAATCCAAGTTACATTCTTCCTAAATTGTGATTTTTTTCTTGTTGCCTAACTTCAGACTGGTGAACCTGACAGTAAAAGTACTGCTAGCCACTGTGAAAAGGCTAGGGGTCAGAAGTCACATCTTGCTTCCTTCTAGACCTAGACCTGGTTTCCTAGTAGCTGGGGCTTTGGGGATGTCACTCAGTCTTTTTGGCCCCAGTCTTTTTATTTATAGAGTTTGAGTGGGTGTATGTCACAAGGTTTGGGAGGGTGGTAGTGGACTATAGAATCACATTATATAAAAGAACCTTCTAGGATGCTACACTTTTGTAGTTTTCCTTCTCTTTACTCTCTTTATCTCTTTTGTTAACTTTTCTTTCTCTCCTCTTTTTTTTTATTTTTTAAAGACAGAGAATTAGAGAGAATGCACAAGAAGGGGGAGTGGCTGAGGGAGAGGGAGAAGCAGCCTCCCAGCTGAGCAGGGAACCCAATTTGTGGCTCCATCCCAGGACCCTGAATCATGACCTGAGCTGAAGGCAGTTGCTTAACTGACTCTTCTTCTTCTTCTTCTTTTTCTTCTTCTTCTTCTTCTTTTTTATTTATTTATTAATGAGAGACACAGAGAGAGGCAGAGACACAGGCAGAGGGAAAAGCAGGCTCATCAACAGGGAGACCAATGCAGGACTCCCCAGACTCCAGGATCACACCCTGAGCCAAAGGCAGATTGCTCAACTGCTGAGCTACCCAGGCATCCCCCCTTCATTCTCTTCTGAAGTCAGAACATCCTAATGCCTTAGTGTTTCCAAGCCATTACCTCTACTTTTTTTTTTTAAAGTAAGCTCTATTCCGAATGTGGGGTCTTGAACTCATGACCCTGAGATCAAGAGTTGCATGCTCTACCAACTGAGCCAGCCCATTGAAGCCATTTCTTCTACTTTTTTCTTTTTAAAAAAATTTTTTTTTGAGTGTAGTTGACACAATGTTACATTAGTTTCAGGTGTACAGCATAGTGATTGGATAAGTTTATACATTATTCTGTGCTCACCACAAGTGTAACTAACATCTTTTGCCATACAGTTGCTATTACAATATCATTAACTGTGTTCTTTATGTTCCCTCTGCTTTTTTCTACTTGCACTCTTTCTGGGTGATCTCCTGTCTACTGTCAATCCACTTTCAATATGCTGTTGACTCTTGGATTTTTATCTCCAGTCCTGAACTTCAGATTTTTTCTACTGCCTGTGTGGTATCTTCACTCCATTTGTCTATAGACATCTTAAAGTGAACATGTTCAGGGTGGAGCTCTTGATTTCTGTTCCTCAACCCATTCCTTCCTCAGCAGTCTCCATTTTATAAGAGAACCCCCTGTTTCCCTTCTCCACACTCCTCAAGTGAAAAATATGGTAGTCATCCTTAATTCACCCCTTTGCCTCACTGCTCCTTCGTCCCCAGTACAATCAATCCTTCAGTAAACTCTGTCAGTTTTATCTGAGAATAGATTTTTTTTTTTTTTTTTTTTTTTGGAGAGAGAGCTAGAGAATAGTGTGAGCCAGAGGGAGAGAGAGAGAATCCTAAGTAGGCTCCATGCTTAGCAGGAGCCTGATGGGGGCTCAATCTCACGACCCTGAGATCCTGACCTGGGCCGAAATCAAGGCATCAGACCCTTTACCGACTGAGCCACCTAGGTGCCCCCAAAATACATTCAATTATATTTACTTCACTTTGTTTTTATTGCTACCACCCCAGTTCTTTTGGGGCAGTAGCTTCCTAACTGGTCTTCTTGCCTTTGGTCTTGCTTTCTTATATCAAACAGCAGTGTGATCTTTACTCACTTTTCTGTCTTAGTGGCTTCTCATTACACTAAGAAGTAAATCCACACTCTTTACCTGCATTGTCTGCTAATTATCTTGCTTATTTTCTTTTTTATTTATGGCCTTTTTCCTTCAGCATACTCTGAGGGTGAGGTGCTTATCTGCCTTCCTTTGGTATTATTATTATTCTTATTATTTTTATTTTTAAAGTAATCTCCATGCCCACTGGGGCTTGAACTCAGGAGCCTGATATCCAGACCTGAGCTGAGATCAAGTATCTCTGTCACTAAACCACTGTGTCACCCAGGTGCTCCCGCCGTGGTATTCTTGGTAACCAGTACAGTGTCTGGAACA